GCTCACATGTAGCAAACAGCAACAGAATCAGAGAGGAGACAGGTTCTCATGAGCATAGATAATTGGATTTAAAGGCAGCTGGAGAAACTGCCCTCCTCGTGGACTCTGAATCAAACTGTAGACTTTTCAGAACATTTGCTGTTACAGTAAAGGCTCCTGGCCACAATTTCACCAGTTGGTACAGAAAACAAGCTGAGCAGGCTTTATGGCTTCCTATTCCTGGCCACGCCTGAGCACACCAATAACAATTTCTACCATGCCATTGTTTCTCCCACAGCCTCCACAACACAGGAAAGAGGCACCCGGCAGCCAGGATTTTTGAAAAAAATTAAGCCAGCTGAACAGGGCAGAGGCAACATTTCAAATTCCTTCCAGGGGCGCAAAGCTTTGGCAAATGATCAGGTCAGATCAAATGCCTCCAGTGAGATACACCACGACTTAAAGAATTATTAGTAACGCTTCAAGTGAGAATATCACAAGACCTCCAAGGACAACAGACTGATACTTACAAAGCAAAACAAAAAGGGGGATGTTATTATGCTCCAATACCGATAAGTATTCTTCTTTCTGGGATTCTGAATGCAACCCAAACTTGAGCCACTCTCCTTTTTATGTTTAATTTTTACTTTTAACTAAATTGATTTCCTCTCTCCATTTCCTTAGTTCTTAACATGATACAGAATTCCATGTTTTTTATTTAATGAAAAGAAATATTAAAAAGAAAAATTGAGGTGGATTAAAAAAGATGCTTCTGGCATAATAATGCCTCATAACTATTTTTGTAAAAGAATGTTAATGGCATATTGCATTATGCTTGTTGCACTGAAGCATCGCTTTGAATAGAACACACATTATCTTGAAAGGAGGATAAGTACAGAGGCAGAGCAGATATTTCATGATGCTGCAACATGATAGGCCACATCGCACCACATACTCATGTTTACTCAGGAGTAAATCTCATGGAGTTAATCTAACTGTGCAAAGGACTGTGACCTTTGCCTGCCCCACGTTCCCTCCAAGAGGAATCTGAAGACACTGCTGCTGTGCATCCCATCAGTGCACACAGTTCTCAGAGGTTAAGGCTGTATTTGCAGAGAAGTTACTTTTACTGACAGCAGTTGCTGCCAAGGCAAATGGTTTCTTTGCAGTCACAGTGGATGGGAAGCAGCACTGGCTCTGCCTCCTTTTCATTCCCAAAGAGGGAAGGAGGTGGCTAAGTTAACCTGCAATCCTATACCCAGTTAAAATAAGTGGGGGTTTTTCATTGTGGTCCAAGGTATCCTAGGGATGCGGGTGGCGCTGTGGGTAAATCCTCAGCGCCTAGGACTTGCCGATCGCATGGTCGGCAATTCGAATCCCTGCGGCGGGGTGAGCTCCCGTCTTTCGGTCCCAGCTCCTGCCCACCTAGCAGTTTGAAAGCACCTCTAAAGTACAAGTAGATAAATAGGTACCGCTTTCTAACGGGAAGGTAAACGGCGTTTCCGTGTGCTGCGCTGGTGCCGGCTCGCCAGAGCAGCTTCGTCACGCTGGCCACGTGACCCGGAAGTGTCTCCGGACAGCGCTGGCCCCCGGCCTCTTAAGTGAGATGGGCGCACAACCCTAGAGTCGGACACGACTGGTCCTTATGGGCAGGGGTACCTTTACCTTTTTTTACCAAGCTATCCTTAAGGAGAAGATATGCAACAGAGATCCAGATCAGCAAATGTACTTGAGGAGTTAATTGCATCTTGAAGCTTTTCAAATCAGTCACAGAAATAGCTGCTAGCATCTTTATGTGCCCCCACCAACACCCCAGACACCGAGAGCCAGTGTGGTGTAGTGGTTAAGAGCGCTAGTCACGTAATCTGGGTAACCGGGTTCGCGTCTCCGCTCCTCCACATGCAGCTGCTGGGTGACCTTGGGCCAGTCACACCTCTTTGAAGTCTCTCAGCCCCACTCACCTCACAGAGTGTTTGTTGTGGGGGAGGAAGGGAAAGGAGATTGTTAGCCGCTTTGAGACTCCTGAAGGGGAGTGAAAGGCGGGATATCAAATCCAAACTCCTCTTCTTCTTCTTCTTTTACACCCCTATAGTTCTGTCTTAAGCATGAATAGTTACAAGCAGGCTGCAGTAACATTTGCATTGACAACCAGGAACAAGTTGCTGTCACTCCACCTCAGCCCAACCATTTACAATATGGGGATAGCAACCAACTTATCTTTAGTGTCATCATGCAGGTGCATGTTACTAAGATAATTCACATGGAGCACTCTGCACACTCTAAAAGCGCTACATAAAAGCAGCAATTACACACACACACGATCTATACACACATATATATAATATATACATGTGCTCACTAGACCATTTTGATCAGCCTATATGGTACTACTACAGGTGCCACGTAATACCCATTCTGCACTTGTAAGAACTGGACCATTTCGTAATATGGCAGCTACGGAACTCCCAGCCTATTGAGAGCTCAAGCAGGCGCCTCCACTGTACTCTGGAAAGATCCAGCACCTGCTGAAACCTCTCCTGTTTAGACAAGCCGACCCAGATGCTTAGGAAGTTGAAGTGACTCTAATCTGTTCTAGTCTTTTAACTTCTGCTTGTTTTAGGAGGGTCACGAACCTTTCTCGATTTCACTGTTTTATCTTTTTGAGGCTTGGTTTGGTTTTTCCACAATCAAGCAGCGCATAAACTTTACGAAACAAAGTAGACGGAGACAGGTATTGACACAACACACACCATCTAGCCCTGATGTGGTAGCTCAGTCGGTAGAGCGCCAGACTCTTAAATCTCCGGGTCCTGGGTTCGAGTTCCTCGCTGGGCAAAAGGGGTTGCACTAGACGACCCTCGGAAGTCCTTTCCAGCTCAACCATGATTCTGTAGCCTCGCTTAAAAGACCCCCCACCCAATGAAGCCCATGCCGGGCGGCCCCCACAGCTCTCTCTTAAGGGTGGGGAAAGGGAGGAGCAGCAGGAAACCTCCCTCCTAGGAGCCGAGCGAGCACGAGACGGAAACTCCCGAGCCCCGCTGCCACTTACCGCCTCCATGATCCCCGCCGCTGCCCCCGGAGAAGGAGTGGCAGCTCCCGCTCCAGTTACCGCCCAAGCATAAACCTGAGCGTCCGCCTTGACGCATCACTGCCCTCACTTCCGCCAGAACGCGGCGTCACGTGAGCGGAAGCGGAAGGAACAAAAAGGAATAGGCGCCGCTCCACGTCCGGCCGTAAAAATAAGGCGGTTTCCGCGCCCGCCCGCCCGCCCGCCCGCCTCCTACCTCTATGGCTCCACCCACCAAACCTGGGCACAAATCTTACTCGAGGCGCAGAAGTCTAGGGATGTAGACTCGTAGCGTTGGAAGGGATCCTCACGGTCATCCGCTGCAATGCTAGCAGTTCTTTAATGGCTGTGCCACACAGGCTTCCGGCTTCTCTGAAGGTAATAACATGTTATCCTCACCACACAAAGTAAGACCCAAGTTAGAAGAAGAATAAACTCCTGGCTGCTTCTAAATTCTCCCTTGATGTTTCCACTGTTTCCTGTGGGCAGCTGCCTCCAGCGGGGAATGGTGCCAAAAGTAACCCAGAAGCCCCCACTTCATGATTTTAATCTAATTAAAACCATTAAATCTAATCCAAAACGGGTTAACATTACCTCAGTTTGCTAAGCAATTGAGTTGTGACTTTCACTGTGGCAGCCACCCAAGGGATCAGGAGGCGGCTGTGGCCATCCAGATGTTTTTGGACTGCCAACTCCCTGGGGCCAGTGAGCACTTGGACATTCCCTGTTCTAGCCCAATTGTATCCCCTAATTTGGTCCTTGTAGCCCAAAACACCTGGAGAGCACCAGTTTTAGAGAAGGCTGCCTTACAGTTGCACAGCATCCAGCCTTTATTAAAACATCCACTCTAGGGCTGCAATCCTAATCCAATTTGCCTGGGAGTAAACTCAGTTTAATTCAATAGCGCTTACTTCTGAGCAGGCATGGTTCGGGTTGTGCTACAGGTTAGCAGATTTACCATATGTAACTTCCAAAGCAAATAATATGCTTTTTCCCTGTAAAAATGCTAAGGGATAAAAGTGACACCATCCCACACCCATATGAAATCATGGCTAATTATAGACTAAGGCTATAATCCTAACCCTGCTTGCCTGGGAGTAATTTTGAATAGATGTTGTTTAAAAAGGTTCAAATTTCCATTAAGCCATGAAGCTCACTGGGTGGCCTTGTGCCAGTCACTATCTTTCAGAAAAATTAGAGAACCACATATGCCACCTTGAGCTCCTTAATTAATAAATAAACCTTAATTCTTCATTCAGACTGTATTGGCAGCTCTAAACTGATAAAGGATCTGTGAACTGCCAAATAAGGAACTAGGATATCACATACACAGCCCAACAAGAAGACAGCATACGAATCAATTTGGCTTACCTGACCCAACAAGCCTCGCCCCCCCTGCCAACAAACCCGACTGTGGCCAACCACAGACAACCAACCACACCCTGCCCCCTAATACCTCTCACTACCAAAGAAATGTAGGATACCATGGATAGGCAAACTAAGGCCCAGGGGCCAGATCCGGCCCAATCGCCTTCTAAATCCAGCCCGCGGACAGTCCAGGAATCAGTGTGTTTTTACAGGAGTAGAATGTGTCCTTTTATTTAAAATGCATCTCTGGGTTTTTTGTGGGGTAAAGGAATTGGTTCATATTTTTTCCCCAAAATATATTCCGGCCCTCCACAAGGTCTGAGGGAGTGTGGACCGGCCCATGGCTGAAAAAGTTTGCTGACCCCTGTAGTATAGAAAGAGAACATACCCAGTTGACACTGACACAAAACCCCACATGTACACTATGCAAAAGAATATAAGCCTCAACAACCTACCCCTCTTCTCCCCCAACCTTATACTGTACTCAACACTAATGTCTCACAACAAATGTAACTAATTTGTACGAAAGACTGTACAACCTGAAAAAAGAGACAAGGCATGTACTTTCGTAAACCAAGAAAATCTTTAATAATTTTTTTTTTTAAGGAACTAGAAAACAACTCACCACTTTGACTATGTACCTACAGAATACGTTTTTCTACAGCAGTAAATAAAACTACAACCAATCTGGGGTTAGGATATTCTAGCTAAAGTGCAAACCAAAGATGATGTTGTTTTTAGCATAAAATCATAAACATAATCACTGGGAGTAGGAAGTAAACCCCACTGAGTGGGACTTAATTCTGGTAACCCATGTGTAGGGTTGCACTGTCACTTTTTCTACAGCACCTGGAAATTTTAGGAATAATATACCAAGAACTTTTGCTTGGCATGCAGTGACTTCTGGGCAGGCATGAGCCCTGGCACTACTTCTGTTAGAAATTAAGTTCCATAAATACTTACCTGCGACAAAGTCCACTGAACTCAGTGTGACTGCTGTATAGGATTGTACTGTACTACAATCCTGCCTGCAGCTCTTTGCATAATGTATTTACCCGGGGGTTGTATTCTATTTCACACAGTGGGGCTTTCTTCTCTAGATGAATGTGCACGGGAATGGGCTACGTGCCAGTAATTTGCCAACGGTATGCTGAATGAATGAATTCAGTTATCAAAGACTCCCTTGATCCCCAAGTTGATGACTCCGTTTCTCGGTATGATTTCCTGCTCTTGCCTTGCCTCTTCCCCACCAGCCCTGCAAAGCACAACATCCCCCTTTTCGGTGTCAGGGGGAAGGATGCCTTCGGGGAGGTTAAAACCGCGCGCCGGCTAAATTTAGGAGATCCTGAGCGGAGCGCCGCGTCGCCTGAGTTCCCCGCCCCTGCGAGGGCCGAACACACAATCACATGCTTCAGGTCGGTCGGGGCAGAGCTGGGCAGCCGCCTCCTGGCCCGGCAGGCGTGGACTCCGGGAGCTGCGAGCTGCGATCCAGCCGGCGGCGGTTCCTCCCCCGGAGCAGGCGCTAGAGCTGCGCGGAGACAGGTGAGAAACGGGAGCGGGGAAAGATGCGCCGCGGGGCTTGCCTTCGACCCGCGGGCTCCCCCCTCGATTTGGCCCGGCGGGGCTGGCGCGGGTCCTCCAGGTCTGCCCCTCTCCTGGCTCCGGAGCGGGTGCCTCGCCCGGCCCGGCCGGGGAACGGAAACGGGCGCGGGGCGCGGCAGCGGGCGGAACGTCGAGCGGCTTCTCATCCGGCGGCGAAGGCGTTAATTTCCGTGACGTGGCACGACGGGGTGTCTTGGGGTCGGGGGGCTTCTTTGGGGTCCCGCGGGGGTGTGGATCCCCCCCCGCGCGCCCCAGTCATAATAAGCGAAGTGGGACGGTGCTGAATAGGAGTGTCGACATTTAGGACACATCGCCAGGGGCACATGGTTTACATGGGCTATGAATAGGGAGTCAAGGCTGCTTAAAAAGTTCTAAAGTCGATGTTGGGAACCTTTGGTCCGCAAAATGTTGCGGAACTACAATTCCCATCACCCCTTTTCATTGACTATTCTTGCAAGGGCTGATGGGGGTTGTAGTTTGGCAACCTCTGGAGGGCCAGAGGTTTCCCGCTATTGTGCTAGGAGAGGAGTTCTTGCCCCTTTATGTATAAGCGTAAAGAGAGATTCTGGTAGTTCATAGGAAAGGACTTCCAACTCCACTGTTTCCTGCTACATTTCTCCCACCCTCTGACCCTCCGTTTCCTCATTCTGTGTCTCCTGTGGCTGTGGACCAAGAAGAATATTGCCAAGGGTTTACTCCGGAATGTTCCTAGTGTTCTTCCCCTAGCTACCTAATATTTGGCATTATATCTTTTTATGTTGGGGTTGCAACTGAGAAATAATCATAGCAAGAGAGGTGTGCCCGGATACTGGACGCTGTTGGCACAAGGCATCTGTAGCACAGAGGTGCTAATTGCAAGAAACACCAGTGTAAGGACTTTTAAGAGCTCATAAAAATGCAAAGTGCTATGCTTCCATCCATTATTCTTATCAGATGATAGAAGCCTGGGCAAAATCCCAGAGCTTTTGTTGGTCGTTCACTCTAGCACTGTTCACAGAGATGGGAAGGAGCATTATGTCTTCCTGCTGTGTACATCTCTAACTCCCTTTGGTAGGAAGTACACAGCGGGTGGCGCTGTGGGTAAAAGCCTCAGCGCCTAGGGCTTGCCGATCGAAAGGTCGGCGGTTCGAATCCCCGCAGCGGGGTGCGCTCCCGTTGCTCGGTCCCAGCGCCTGCCAACCTAGCAGTTCGAAAGCACCCCCGGGTGCAAGTAGATAAATAGGGACCACTTACTGGCGGGAAGGTAAACGGCGTTCCGTGTGCGGCTCTGGCTCGCCAGATGCAGCTTTGTCACGCTGGCCACGTGACCCGGAAGTGTCTCCGGACAGCGCTGGCCCCCGGCCTCTTAAGTGAGATGGCCGCACAACCCCAGAGTCTGTCAAGACTGGCCCGTATGGGCAGGGGTACCTTTACCTTTACCTTTTTACATGTTCCTTCCTTTAGTGCTGTGCAGTGCATGCTTTCTCAGAAGTTGAGTAAACATGCATAGGATCGCACTGTTAATCTTTCTCTCTGTCCCTCCACTTTCAATAGGTAGCACTGTATTTTTCTGGGTTTATTCTCTTCAGGCTGGCTAGCTAACTGAGTTAAAAGGTAAAGGGACCCCTGACCATTAGATCCAGTCGTGTCCGACTCTGGGGTTGCGGCGCTCATCTTGCTTCATTGGCCAAGGGAGCCGGCGTACAGCTTCCGGGTCATGTGGCCAGCATGACTAAGCCACTTCTGGCGAACCAGAGCAGCGCACAGAAACACTGTTTACCTTCCCGCTGGAGCAGTACCTATTTATCTGCTTGCACTTTGACGTGCTTTTGAACTGAGTTAACTGAGTTACACTGGAGCAATTAAACAGCAACACAGAATCCCCCCACCCACCCAAAAAAAGGCTCCTTACTGGTCTGTACATAGGTGACTTTGCAATCCTATGCCTTTTTACTTGGCGCAAAGTCACCCTTGTTCCATAGGGCTTGCTCCCCAGGAGTATAGGATTGCAGCTGTACTTGCTGATATTTTAATCCTTTCCTTCCTTCAGGGAGCTCAGGGCTGCATACAAGGTTCTTCTCCCCATCCCTCCTTATCCTTCACAACAATCTTGCCATCTCATTAGTAGGTGGTGCGGACAGCTTGGTGCCTGACTGAGGATTTGAACCTGGGCCTCCGTGGTCCAACCACGGTACCATGCTGGCTTCCAGTACACCCCAAGCGATGGCACAGTAACCTAGGAATCTTGCCTCCTGCACCACTGCCCCTTTCCCTCTGGGCTTCTCCAGGCGCTGTAAACAATCAGAGAGGATGGGGTTTAGGATGAAGGGACGTGCCTCTTGTGCCTGCCTCTTGAATTTGCAATCATGGTTGCTTCTGCCTTCCTCCTTCCCCTGCCCCAGACCATGGCGGCTCTTCTGAAGAGTCTGCTTGCGGCATCGGAGAAGGCAGCCTGCATTGCCCAGCTTTGCCGCCAAGAGGAGGCACTCTTCAGCTTGCTCATTGAGGAGAAGAGAGGGGCGGACAAGAACAAGAAGTTCCTGCAGGACTTCAAGACTTTGGCCGACGTGCTGATCCAAGAGGTTATCAAGCATGATGTGGGGCAAAAGGTATCTGCTGCGGGGAAGGGGCCCCATCACTGTAGGATATGTAAAGAAGGGTTTAATCGCAGGCCAGAGCTAGGGGAAATGTAGAAGGGGAAAGCTCATAGCGGCTGCTGCACTTATCCTCAATTGCAACCCAGCAGGACCTGGGATTGAGCTGGAGCCATAAGACTATCAGAAGCTGCCTTCTACTGAGTCAGTCCATCGCACCATCTAACTCAGCATTGCCCACACTGGCTGGCCTTGGTTCCCATGAGCTTGAGACAGGCTCCTGTCCCAGCCCTGCCAGGAAAAGCCAGAGATTGCACCTGGGACCTTCTGCATGTGAAGGGGATGCGCTGTCGCTGACCTACGGCCCTTTGCAGTGGCTAAGCCACCCTGCTCCCGATGGTTGTGAAAGTGGGAACAACCTGGTGCCTTCATCCTTCACCTGTTGGAATAATAACAGCTCACATCTATCGTGTCATATAGTGCATGGTCTTTGCATAATTTACCCAGTAATCCTCAAAATTACTCTGTAAGGCTACCTTGCGAAGGTAGGCCATTATTACTATCCGCAAATTAGATCAAGAGAACAGTGGCTTGCCTAAGAGTTGTGCGGTACAGAGTGTTAGACTAGGTCCTGGGAGACCAGGGCTCAGATCCATGAGGCTCCTTGGGTGACCTTGCACCAGTTTTCCTGTGTCAGCCTCTCCTACTTCACAGAGTCACTGTGAGGATAAAATGGGGAGGGAGAGAACCAAGTACGCCTGCTTGAGCTCTTTGGAGGAAAGGCAGGATATAAAGATAACAATAAAACAATGTCATCAAATGGGGGAGGGAATTTTTTAGGCCATAACTCAGTTTATTAGACACATGGGAGTGGCTGTAAAGAGGATTCTTTCCCTGGGGTTAAGGGAAGAATTAGATCTAGCCACAAGCCTGTGTGTGTGTGTGTGTGTGTGTGTGTGTGTGTGTGTGTGAAAGAGAGAGAGAGGTTGAGAGGTTGCCCAACCAACTAAGGACATTACAGAATGCAGACATGTCAGAGCAGGACCAGCCATTCAAATAGTGCTAGTGCATTCAGGAGAAAAGTCTGGGTTATTATTACTATTTAAAATACTCCATTCCATCAACGCAGACACACACCAATTATGAACTTAAAACATAAAAGCCCTAAGGGGTTAAAGAGCTAAAAACACATATGAGAAAATGAACTTGAAAATGAATTAGAAATTGTTCAAAATTCTGTCCTAAAATGAACATATTTTATGTTCAGTTCACCTGACAATTATGGAAGCTACTCTTGCGTGCAGTTTAGAGATATTTGTCCTAATTCCATTAACATCATTAAACCGAACTAATTCATTCCAAGCATTGATGCACAATTGTCTCTTTCTGATCCGGTGGGAACTTGGGATGATGGGGCAGAAAGACCAAAATAACCTTCTCTTAGATCTGACTCATTAGTGTGACTAAGCCACTCTCTCTTCTTCCTTTCCCCTTCTCCATTGTTGGCGCTACCAGTTTCCAGAATTACAAGATCATATCCGTGGTGAGGAGTCCAACAAATTTGAAAATGGCCTCGGTGAGTGATGGCGTCCTTAAGTGGCAGGGAGAGGGCAAATTTTTATTAATTGCTCTATCAAACTGCTGGTCCTCTTTCTCAGCTTTATCTTAATTAGAATCATTGGCTGAGCCATCATCTTCTGTTGCTGCAGACTCTGGTGTACTTTATGCTCGAAATTAGACTCCCTTTTCTATTCCTAAAGTCAGTTCTCCCACCTCCAGTCCCTTTGGTTGCCTGCAAAAGACTTTTCTGAACTGCACTTGACCTTTTTTATTGGCTACTGTTCTTCTAGGCTTATATCTTTCAAATCTACAGTTTCCCCAACAACTAGTCATCTGAGGAACCCCTGTGCATTACCCCTTGTAGTCTCTCTGAGATGGGTTTAGATCAGGGGTCGGCAACCTAAGGCTCATGGGCCACAAGCAGCCAATGGAAGTCGTTTTACCGGCCTGCAAGCCGCCCTCCAAGGAAAAGCCCTCCAGCATACTAAATTTTGTTTTTTTGAACTTCTAGGGGAGACGGTGGTGGTGCAGGTTTGCCCCACACAACAAGAAACTGCTGCCCTGTTGGAAAAAGTCCTTGACCGGAAGCAAGCAGCAGCCGAGCTGCTGGCTGCAGCTATTCATCAGGAAGTGGTGCTTTCAGACCCAGCGCTGGATGATGTGGCTGTGACTATCTCCACAGAGAGCATGGCTGTGTGGATTGATCCCATAGGTAAGCCATGCGTCAAGGGTGGGTGTTGGATTGAGCACTCGATGGGGTCGGGAAATAAGAGTTTTGGCTTGGTTGGGCAAGGGGATCTTCCTCCCTTGCCCATTTTTGCTTGCTTGCTTGCTTTAATGTATCTTCGTGAGGGTGTTTTCTTTTTAGGGGGTTGATGTTAAGCTGCTTTGAGTTGCCTTGGGCAAGAAAACACAACCAATAAATAACAACAACACAGAGCCATAGCTAGTGAGGATCTAGCCAAGGTTTCTGCGCTGGGTGAAGCTTCCAGAGGGGCGCCATTGAGGCCCCCGGCCTCCCAGTATGTCTGGGCTTCAGCTGGAGAGAAAGATGAAAAAGAGAATAGCATCCACAAGCTCCTTCCCTTTTCCCCATGAAGCTGCAGAAGGCTTATTTACAACACAATGCAGGGAAAGGGAGAGTTGGAAAATCTGGAGAGGCTGATTGGCTCTCCCCAGTGAAGCAGAAGATAGGATCCCCTGTGGATTTGCTAGCCTGAGAAAGAAATTCTGGAGGGGCAGAAAACTGAGGAAGAGATCAGTTGGACTAGATGATTCTTAGGGTCCCTTCCAACTCTATGATTCTATGATCCTTCAGAACTTTGAATGTTTTTCAATAAGCTAAAGTTGAGTCATTTTCAGACTCTACATGATATACACACAGGAAAGTAAGGGGTGTGTGAGAGCATTTTTCCTGCCAGAGGCAGTTCCCTGGCAAGTGCTGGTCAGCCTGGCTGCATTAGCATTGTAATGGAAGGGCGCTTTCTACTTTAGACTTGCAAAAAGCATTTCTTCACCTTACCTGGAACATAAACAGACTACAAAATTATCATTTCCTAAAACGAGTAATCAAACAAAAACAAAATTGAAAGGAATCTTGTTGATGCTTGGGAGTAAATTTACACGTCAAAACTCCTTGAAAGGGTTTGCACAGAACCAAGAGGAGGGGTGAGTGGCAAAAACCTCAAAAGAGGGGGAATTTTTTTTTTAAAGGAAACCAGAGGGTCTTGGCTGATCTTATGGAAATGCAATCTTTTAATAATCCTATGACCAAATAAATCCAATTCAAAACCTGACCTCAGATAGACAATTACTGCACAAGGAAGTTCTACTTTTGACAAACAATTTGCTTTTACTGGAAGGGATGCTCGTTTTCCCTTTGGCCATACAGTCATAATACTTCTTAGGATTCCTTTGAATTCAAATAATATATTGCCTACTTTTTATGCCCTTTACGAATAAATGTGTTGAGGGGTGGGTGTGTTTGTATGTATGTGTATGTATGTACACAAACACACATCCAGGGGGTTGGGCGCCAAATGGGGTCTTTGACCCAATTTAAGAAAGCCTAGTTTCGGCCCTGAACAACAACAACAACGTAAGACAGGAAAGGGATAGCCAACGTCAAGTTCTCAAGGCATTCTTGGACTGCAGCTCCCATCAGCCCCTGCCAGCATGGCCAGTTACTGGAAATGATGGCAGAACCTGGACATTCAGAAGGTGGCTCGTTGGCTACCTCTCACATTGGAGTTACACTAAATCAGACTATTGGTTTGTCCAGTCACTGTGTACTCTGATGGAAGTGCTCTGATGGCAGGCATCTTTTTCTGCTGCCTCAGGTCATTTGCCCAGTTCTGCCTCTGCTCCCACCCCTGGCTTACGGCCCTCGGAAGGGAATGCTGGAGGTTCCTCAGTCCTGGAGATTCCAAGGCTTGAACCCTGGAGGTCCCATAGGTGAAGCACATGCTCTCTTGCTGTGCTGCAGTTGTTGGGACAGGGAGCCCAGGGGATACAGCTTCTACTATCCTCCCTCTGTGGGGACTACTAGCTTTTGGCAAAAGTTATTGGAGATCCATTCAGCCGCCTCCAGCTCTCTTCTCACGGCCTTATACCACCAGGCCCAACTACCATATTTGTCCTCCTAGCCCATTACTGTCTGCTTCAGCCTCTGCCAACCCTGGTGCTCTCCAGATGTTTTGAACTACCACTCCCATCATCCTCAACCAGCATGGCTGTTCTGATTGAAACGGATGGGAGTTTTACTCCGAAGCACCTGGGTGGTGCGCCAGGTTGGCAGTGGCTGCTCTGCTCTGACTAAAAGTGGCTCTCCATACATGTGTACATATATACACATACATGCATGCATGCATACAAACCCAACCACCCCTCAACACATTTATTCGTAAAGGGCATAAAAAGTAGACAATATATTATTTGAATTCAAAGGAATCCTAAAGAAGAATGTGAGCCGCTTTGAGACTCCTTAGGGTACAGTGGTGCCCCGCAAGACGAATGCCTCGCAAGACGAAAAACCCGCTAGACGAAAGGGTTTTCCATTTTTGAGTTGCTTCGCAAGACGATTTTCCCTATGGGCTTGCTTCGCAAGACGAAAACGTCTTGCGAGTCTTGCGATTTTTTTTCGCTCCCCCCCCCTTTTGCTAAGCCGCTAATAGCCTTTTACCCGCTAAGCCTTTAATAGCCGCTAAACCGCTAATAGCGCTAATCCACTAAGCTGCTAATAGGGTTGCTTCGCAAGACGAAAAAACCGCTAGATGAAGAGACTCGCCGAATGGATTATTTTCATCTTGCGAGGCACCACTGTAATGATAAAGCGGGATATCAAATCCAAACTCCTCCTCTTCTTCTCTCCAGGGTCTTGGGCCCTTAAAAATAAATAAATCAATAAATTTTGTTAGAGTTTATAGAGAAAAATACAAAACTTAATATCAAATATCTTTTTAACCCAACATTAGTCTAAACAAGATACTGTAAAAACATAGTGGAAAAGGTAAAAAAAGAAAAAAGAGAGGGAGAGAGAGATAGGGAAAAGCTTAAAAAAGCTGTAAAAAACAGGTCTTTCCTATCACCTGCTACCTCCTTTTTTACCTTCCTAGCTGGAAATGCTAAGGAATGGACCTGGGACCTTCTGCCTGCAAAGCCTGGGCTCCAGACACAGAGAAAGCTGCCCGACACTTGGGCGAGACCCTTAGTCCACCTCACCCAGTGTTGTCTGCATTGGCCGGCAGTGATTCTCCAGGGTTCCAGAAGTGGTCTCTCCAGGCCTCCTTTAAGATGCTTGGGATTGAACCTGGTACCTTCTGCATGCAGAGCAGGTGCTCTGCCACTGAGCTACGGACCTTCCACCATGAAGGGGCCCTTCTGCTGCCCAAAAAATGGCAATTCTCCTGTGAGGAGGAGCTCTCTGAGCCTTACTCTGAACTTCCTTCACCAGGCTTGGAACTGGCCATCTCACGGCTTCTCTCTCCTCAGATTCCACCAATCAGTACATCCGTGGGCGTGGCGATGTGCTGCCTGTGGATGGCATCTACCCCTCAGGGCTGCGCTCGGCGCTGGTGCTGATAGGCGTATACAACCGTCACTCAGGCGAGCCTGTCCTGGGCATCATCAATGAGCCCTTCTTCAAGGAAAAGCTGCCAGCACGCAGGTAACAGCACCACCACAGGGCACTCTTCCACAGGTGGGCTAGCCCATTGGGTACCCATTGGGTGCATGCGGATGGAAGAGGCTTGACCCAGACTCACTACTGTGAAGCTTCGCTTTAATCCATGTTTCATCTAGAGAAGTTGTTGCTTTTCAATTCCACTGCTCAAGTGGGGAGGCTTGGCATCAGGGCCGTCTTTACCCCGGGGGTGCAAGGGGTGCGGGGCACCCAGGTGCTGAATTCTGGGGGGTGCCAGGCACCCGCCGCTGAAGCCGCCTAAGCTCTTAACTATCTACCTGTTATGAAATAATAAATATTTTCAAAGCCAGCCGCTGCTGCCGCCTCCACCCTGGCCGCTTTCTCCTCCCCGGAGTCCCACCCTGCGTGGAGAGGCGTTGCTCTCTCGCCCACCATTGGTTTGGTTACTGCGTCCCTCTTCTTCTTCTCCTTCCTCCTCCTGGGGAGCTTTTAAAAGCACCTGGGTGTGAAGCTGGGCGCCTTTGTGGAGCTCGGGCACCCGGTTCTTGAGGGACAACAGCAGCGAGACTCAGAAGAGCAGGATGCCGCCGCTGCCGCCATGGCCTCACCTGCAACCACGGAGAAGTATATCTTGGGTGTAGACGTGGGCAGCACTAAATTTGGGGGCACTGGGCGGATCTTTGCACCCCAGTGGCGCATATTCTAAAGGCAGCCCTGCTCAGCATTATCACCTGATCTAGCCCATGTCTGCATATGAACCCCTCTCAAGCCAGGTGTGTGTCTCAGTGGTAGAGCGCATCTTATGCAGCAGCAGGTCCAGATGCCATCCCCAGCATCACCTGCCTGAAACTCTGGAGAACCCCTGCCCATCTGTGGGGACAATCCTAATCTAGATGGACCGAGTGTCTATCTTGGTATAAAATTGCTTCCTGCGTTCTTAATGCATGCCGACCGCACCCGTGCAGACACATCTTGCTACATGCAAGGAGTGTACAGTGTCTCGTCACAGCTCTGAGTCTGGCTATAAAAAATACCCTGCTGAGCTGATTCCAGGGCATTTTGTCCCATCCCTTAAGAAGAATAGAATCGTTGGATTTTAGAGTTGGAATGTACTTGGAGCTCATCTAGCCCAACCCCCTGCTCAAGACAGGGTCCAAAGGGCATCCTTGGTCGTCCTCTTATCCTTTTTTTTAAAAAAAAAACATTTATTAAATTTTCAAAAATTATACAAAAAGAAAAACAGTATTACAAACAAAAACACAAACAAAACAAGTATAATTTCATTCCCTTATTTTCTTATAACTTACTTTCCTGACCTCCTCATACCTCCCCTTTCTGTATTCCAATCTCTAATTATTTAATTCAGCAAATCCCTCCCCTAATTTCTATTTAATTTTTAACCTTTCTTTTCTTAATTACATAATCATTACAGCTAGAAACCACTTAATTTCTAAACCAACATCGTTCTAACATTCAATAATTTTACAATATTTCTTAAGATAGTCCTTGAACTTCTTCCAATCTTCTTCTGCCGTCTCTCTTCCCTGGTCTCGGATTCTGCCGGTCATTTCTGCCAGCCCCATATAGTCTATAACCTTCATCTGCCATTCTTCCACGGTGGGTAGGTCGTCCTCTTATCCTGGGCCTCCATCCCAGTTGTGTTTTTCTTTTCTAGCAATCTGTGTGCTGCAGCCTCTCACTTTGGCTTTCCACTCACACAGCACTGATGACCACCTCATCCATCCTCCTTGCATCAAGGTTCTTGTTGGGGATGGGGAAAGCAGCATCAACCGGTTGCTGTCTCCACCAGGTCCTAGTACAGCGTGACTCTCTGGTGCTTTTCCTGACTAGCCTTCTCTGACACGTCCCTCTTTTTTTTGCAGGTGGCAGAGCAAATATCACTGGGGCATCTCCTATGGGGGCACCCGCCTGAGCTCGCTAAGCCGGCCCCAGCTGCGGACTTCCCCTCGTGTGGTCCTGAGCAGCAATGAGAAAGTGGCGCTGCAGGAAGCCCTGACCCCCCTGTATGGGCAGCAGCTGTGCTTTGCCTCCGGTGCCGGGTACAAGATGCTGTGTGTGGCGCTGGGGCTGGCCGACGCCTACGTCCTCTCGGAGGGCAGCACCTTTAAGTGGGACTCCTGCGGCCCCCACGCCATCCTGCTAGCCCTTGGCGGAGGCATGGTTGACCTTTCGGAGGCCTTGAAGTCCTGGCAGGCTGGGCAACGCAAGCCGCTACCGGAACTGACCTACAACAAGCCTGTGGAGGGCGCTCTGGGTGCTGAGCGCTGGGCCAACCAAGGAGGGCTTGTGGCCTACATCCACCGGGAGCATCTGGAGGCTGTAATGGCCACTCTGGCAGCTGCAGCAAACACCTTCTAAAGCTCCTCCTCTTCCTCCCTCCAGGGCATTTTCATCTCAGCACCCGAGGAGGAAGCCAGTCTCTGGGCAAAGGGCCCCAGCTTCCTCACCTACCAAGGGACCAGTCGGTTACTGACAAAGGCAACACACCTGGATCAGCTAAGGTTGTACCTTTGACTTCTGGCGTTTCTGTGCCCTGTTTCCGCCATGTTCCAGTGGGGAGGAGCAAAGAGATCACAAATCACTCATGCACCACAAACCATGTTTTTTATCTTAACTGTAGACAGGAAATGTAACCTCCATGCATGCAGAGGGGGTCGTGGTGACCTTAAATTGTGCCCTTCTCCCCACCCGATCCTTGGTGCTTTGCTCCTTTTACATGAATAATACGTATTATGGGTAATGCAGTAGATATGCATTGGGACCATTATATAGCTTCCAATTTGGATTTTCTTTAGCCCTCTCTGCTTCTGGTATCTTGCACAGGGCACTGTGACCAGCACTGTTTTTAGCTGTCCACAGCACAGGCCTGTTTTCTGGGGTGCATCAACCACTCTCCTTGCTTGTGACATGTGATCTGGGTCATCTGCAGCTTGATCTGTGAGCAGCTAATGGTTGGGTGGTCAGTCCATGTTATGAAGACAGTCTAGGTGGCCTTCAGCTCTGTGAGGAGCGTCTGCACCAATCCTGCTTCTGTGGTTTGTGGCATTTACTCTCTAACACGGAATCCGCTGGGACAGTGTTTTGTTGAGGGAGGTTAGGCTGCGTATCTGTAACAAAGAGTTCCTCAGGATCATTTGTAAGGAGCCGTGGCAGCTGAAATAATCAAAGTATGTGCTGTGATTCTGGGAATACCCTCCCAAAAATTGCTATTGTATCAAATTGCAGCTTATCCGGACTGAATCATCTTTATATGAGCTCAGTTTCATGCAGAATAACTGACCGTTCCCTGAGAGTCCCTAAATCCTACCTCCAGCCCCCTTGACAGGGATGGGGAACATGGCCCTTTGGATGTTGCTGGCCGGAGCTGGTGGGAGTTGAGAGCTCAGCAAGATCTGAAGGCCACAGGCAAGCCATGTCAGGAATGCAATTCTGGGTAGGGAGGGAAGAAGGCATGGCCACAATTCACCCATTCATTGGCCTTGTCCTGTTTCAGATGTTTCTAACACATTGCTTTAGAAACCAACCAACCAACAATTGCTCAGCTTTTAAAAAAATATTTGGAATCAGAATAAGAAAATTAAGGTTGCCCAACTGTATACAGATGAACACACAAACTTATATATGGTTTCTGTACTTTACTTTGAACACATCATGTGAGTGTTCTTCGAGCAGAATTTGAATTTTTAAAAGTTTATTTTTACTTGTTACAGCAGTTGCACACTATTTTAATAGTAATAAACTGTATCTAAGATTGGAATTGCACAGAATATTCTAAGATTTTTTTAAAAGTAGGTGAATCTGAAATATTAAACACAGCAGAATATTCTGATAACTGCTGAAGTGCATGCTTGGGGAACGCAAGTACCAGTTTTTCTTCTACCAAGGAATCTAACTTGCAGTAAATTGATTTGCCACCTTTTCAGGAAATGCTACATAATGTTACCAACAACGAAGATCAGTATTTTAATCAGTATTTTAAATAACATGAGATCAAAACTTAAATCAAACTAAAATAAGGAATATGTCAGAGCAGCAATAGTATAATTGGCCAAAACACACCCTCACTTTAAAAACACAAATTGCCTCTCTGAGAATTTGGGGGGCAAACTGTGTTTTGTTTCCTAGAGTGCAATCCTATGCTCCAGTCTCACTGTGTGCTACACGAGAGGAGCATGAATCGCAGTGCTGCCATGATTGTTTGTTTGTTGTTTTACTTGTCCTTCACCAGCAGATCCCATGGCTGGTTACAACAATTTAAAAATCAATATTAAAAAATGCTAAAACATATTACAGTCACAGGAATAGGGTGAGTCCTGAAAATGCAAATGTCAGGTGTAAACGGCCAGGTGGAAGACGTGTGTCTTCAGCATTTAGCAGAAGGTTCCTGGGGAAGGTGCAAGATGCACCTCTGTGCGAAGGGAGTCCCACAGTCCAGGGGCTGCCACAGAAAATGGGCTGCAACTACAGCTCCATCTGCCCCAGCCAAGGCACCGGGTTGGGGAAGGCTAAGCTACGAGGAACTTCCTCTCTGGTGGGATTGATTTTTAACAGCATTTAATTGGAATAACTAAGAATGCTGGGGATGTTGTGACATATCGCCATCCTCCCTGGGCGCAAGAAATATAATGGTTTGGAAATCTTAATGAATACTCAAGGCAGCCCTGGGGCCACAGATGCCTGTGCCGCTCCTTCGCATTAAAACAAGCTGGCAGTCTTGCAATACTCTTCTGCCACTAGATGGCACGATAGCCCCTGGGTGATATTTATTTACCAAGAGTTGGATTGAGAGGCTGGAGCTGAGCTTTCACCTATGACAGAGTATTTTATAACATAAACCTGGCTCGATTCCATATTTGCTTGTTGCATATTCTGTAATCAGATCTGCTACAGGCTTCTTCTAATGGAAAGAGCACAGACCTGGTACATAAAAACACTTTGCGCCATGTAAAATGGAGCCACATTTGTTTTTACTGTTCAGCCTATGACTTATAATGACCCCTAATTATTCTGTGCAAATTCAGGTTTCTAGTATTGTGCACCTGAGAATTCCAGCTGCTGCTGCTCCCACTTCCTCCTCCTCCTCCTCCTCCTCTTTTTCTTTAAAAAAGCTTCTTTGAATAAGCAAAATGCAGCACAATCCTAACTGTGTCCAGAGAACTACGTCCTATTGAATTCATTGGGGCTTACTCCCAAGTAAGTTGGCTTCAGATTCCTCAGTGGTGAAGGACAGGTGCCTTTTCTGGCTGCTTTGGACTACAACTCCCATCAACTCAGCCAGCATGGCCAATGATCAGGCATGTAGGGAGTTGCCACCCAAGAATATCTGAAAGGCCCCACCCCTTGTCAGATCCTTATGGCTGAGAAGATAGGCTAGGTGTTGTAGGAAATCTCGAAATCCCACAAGGAGATTGAGTAAAATCCCCAAGTTAGACGGAACATCCTCAGGATCAGGAGAAACAAAAGGGCCTGACTGAACATGCAATATTGCATCCCTAAATACTCCCAGTTGCAGAAATTGGACATGTCTTTGCTTAGAGTAGCCATTGACACTTGGCCAAATGAATGGACACCAATTTGCATGTGCTGCGTGTAGGTGCGCATTTAAAAATATTAGTAGGTTCTATCCTACTAAGTCATAGTCACTAGACCCATTGATTTCAGTGATTCCAAGTACAACTTAGTTGGCTATATGATATTACCTTGAGTATGACTGGTGTGTTATGTCACTCTATAATTCTACATAGGAATACTATACATCTCACTGTCGTGGGGAAGACTGTGGCCTGTGGGTTTGTGCTTAGTCTGCTGCCAAGGTGCTATCTGTTGATGGGCAACTTCAGCGCCCCTGCTCTTCCTTCTGTATCTTTCAACCAGACCTGGAATGCACAGCCATTCAAATAGGACACCTTCATACAGAGAACTGCCACCTGTCCTCATCCTAAGCCTCTGATAGCTCTGAAAATCGACAACTGTCTTCTGTAAAATAGGACACCTGAGCACCTGATATTTGCTGTTCTTCTGCTAATGAGTGAACGTTATTCCATTTCTCTTTAATCTCAGCTTTTTCCACATTCTGCATAATCTAAATAGGATCCATTTGTTTGTATATTTAGGTAACTTTGTAAACAAACAATGCAAAATTAAGAGACAGTCTTTTTATATATAAAAAAGAAGTATTTCCCCCCGATGGCTGGGAGTGCTAGGATGGGAAGCATCCATGTAATCCATCTTATCTTAGACACACACCAGTGATGCATCAGAGGAGCACCTTACTTGATATAGTTCTTGGTGGGGAGAGATAGATAAAGAGATAGAGAAAGAGGTTGCATTGGAAGTAAGCAAAGACACCACAGGGGACTTGAACCCCATCCTAGAAACCAGGAGTGCCAGCCACCAGCGCCTTTTGACTTTTTTTTTCTTTTTTCTTTTTCTTTTTCTTTTTTTTTTTGGCAATGCAACAAGGTGAAAAGCAAAACCTGAGAGAATACTCTGAATACAGAATGTTCTCTCAGGAGAAAGAAAACCCTTAAGAGTTATAAAGTTGCAGACAGAACACAACCGAGCAAAGGATATTCACCTAGATGTGTTTAAGTCACAGAGTGCCATTTTGACTGCCATCAGTTTGCAGGGCAGAAGAAAGAGACTGGTTCCAGTCTTAAAACTCTGCCTTTATGCTCCCCTTTTCATTTGTCCCCCTGAAGTGTGAATTCATGGGCCTGGCAGTTCCTTCTGCTGGTCTGTGAAAAGCAATCTGGACTGATTAGTCTGTCCCCAACCCATTCCCGCAAATTCCAGTGAAATGGAACATAGCTGTTCTTACTGACCTGACTTCTGCAGGAAGAGCTGGCTTCACCTGAGTGTGGTGGGCTCTTGGACAGAACTGTGAAGAGATCAAGCAAGGGGAAATTGAGAGGCCAGCACAAAAGGATTGTACTGAAAAAGATCACTGAATTGTGGAGTGTGAAGTACACCTGCCATTAAGGTTCCTGAAGAATTGCAAAATTCTATTTCTTGTGTCACTGAGATGCACCTGGAAGACTAGGGTCTTCAGCAGCCCTCCCCTCCAGACACAAAGGAGCAAAAACAGTGGGTTACCTAAAGCAGCGCACTCAAGACGCAGGTGTCTCTCAGTCCTACACTGCCGATGTTCACTTGATGTATCAAGAGCTCTTGACACTGCCTCTTACTTGTCAACGGAGCAGATCTGCTTCAGGCACAGGTAGCTTTGTGAGGTCTGCAAAAAAAAAGAGCTGGAACAAAGCAAGGTTGGCTGTCCCACCAAAAGATGTACCTTATTGTGTGGCGATGGCACAGGAAAGGGCCTCCCCTGCAGTGGTGTCCCGACAAGAGAAGTCCCTCCAGGTAGAAGCACGGAGAGCGACCGCATTAGGCTTTCGAGTTCACAGCTCTTCTGAAAAAGGGATTGAATAACCAACATTGCTCAATACAAACTCTTTAGAATATTTAGTTTGCATATTTGATGTATGATTCCATTTAGAGCCTACCTTTTCTCCAACAGGCTCAGGGTGCTTGAATGGTCCCCCTCACTGCGACCTGAAAGAATCTTTGTACAAAGAGTTGCAGGCAGAAAACAGAGATTTTCTCCTCAGCCAAGCACAAGATACTCACCTAGAAAACACTCCTCAGCCAGAAAACACACACCTGTATTGCTGCTATAATTACAATGGAGCGTTTAGAGATCACTTTTTAGTTATTAGTGCCTATTGCCCTTCTGATAATTCAAAAGTTTTCTTATAGAAGCTACAATTGCAGTTGAAGGTAACAAGAGATTACAGGCAAAGGAAGCAGTTTGCTACACCAGGTTTTTAAATATATTAGCTTAGGAATAGAAGTACTGGCGAGGATCCAAATTTTAGTATTTGTTGGAAACCCAGCAACTATCAATCCTTTCATGCAGGTTTTCACCAAAAAGCCAGTAATACTATTTTGGTCAAATTAATTTTTTAATAAAGTCTCAGCATTAATGCATAATGTTTCCTGCATTAAAGAGACATACATGTACCCCAGGGAAAGAAAATTGGGAGCTACATGCCTCCTTTATCTACAGGAGATAGGGGTACAGACCTCTATTCCAAAATGTTTCACAAATGTGGGTTATTATTATTTTGTATGGCCCCACTCTCTGGTCATTAGTGGAACAATCAGCCACCCCCTTATGGACGAGTCAAAATGGCCAGAGAGTCAGGATTCATAAGATTTCAAATATTTTCTCAGTCATTTCAGCCTTACCATTAGCAGACAATATTTTCTGCCCTTTATGTACAGGAAAAAATGGTCAAGGCTCATCTTTCCTAATTATTAATATGTATGTTCTTAAACGTTTGCTGGACTTTTTTTGCTCACAAATGGCTGACAAAATGGTGAAAACCTCTACTCACTCCAATGCCACCTCTACCATTGCCATCAGTGGATTCACCCTCAAAATGCCTTATTTGCTTATTCACACTGAAATTCGCAAGGCAACTGTTACAAACAAAGGAAGCAGTTTGATGCACCAGGTTTTAAAATGGGTATTCTAAATGTATTACCTTAGGAACAAAATTACTAGCGAGGATCCAAAATGCTGGCATGTTTGGAACCTTCTGGATTTATACACATCTGAAGGAACAAAAACTCAGCAATATTTTGGTGACCCTCTTCTGCAGTTGCCCAGTAACTACAGTTAGGTATAATACTCTCAGCCTTGGTTGGTTGCTTTTTGCTGCTGCTCCTTGTGGCTTTCTCAGTTATTTCCCCCTTTTATGCTTCCCCCAGAACCAGTTCTTGATCCTAGTGGCTTCCAAACCTTTTCTGGTTCAATAGTTATTTCTCTTTCCATGCCTTCATTCTTTTCTAACTTCACCAATCTGAAGGGGCTCCTGGAATGCTTGTCAGTTGCCTTTATTCCCATCAGGGAAAAGGTTGGGAAATAATAATAATAATAATAATAATAATAATAATAATAATAATAATGCCTCTTCCTAGCTTCCTGTGCCAAATGCCACCACTTTTAAGCCAGCTGCTCAAGAGGGTTTGTTATTCTACTCCCTGGAATCCACATTATAAATAAAATGAAGTTCTGCCCATTAGCGAAGGAGCTTCTCTATCGTCCCCAAGAAGCTATCACAAAATGGCCGCAAAGTATTTTTGTCAACAAGCTAACATGAAATTAGAAGGAACTATGTTGCCTTCTCCCCCTCTGCTTTGCTCTTTATCACAGGCACAGCCTTCTTTCCCCCTGGATCCCCCTCCCCTTCTCACTTCTAAGGCTCACCTGTGTTAAAATCTTCCCAATCTTGGTTTTTCTAACTTCTGGAGCAAGTGGTCGCAGACTAGATCCAGGGGCTCTTGGAAGAAGCTGGTTTTCTGGTTCCATTTCAATTGGGTTTAGGCCTGGTTTTGGCACAGAAACTGCCTTGGTCGCCCTGCACGATGACCTCTGTCGAGAGAGAGACAAGGGAAGGCGCTCAGTGGCCCAGAATGCCTTCCATCAGCTTCGGACAGCGATAGCCTAACCACGGTTGTCTATGCTCTGGTGACCCTTTATTGGGTTATTTTTGTTTTGTGTATTTGATATTTTATGTGAACTGCCCTTAGACCTTCATGTGTAGGGCGGTATAGAAATTAAATTAATAATGATGATGATGATGATGATAACAACTTCGGCAACAGAAACCCCAGCCTCTTCTTTTTATGAAATGGCTTTTCCAGTTGCCTTTTAAAAGAAAAGCCTTCTATTTTTCTGTATTTATTCTTCACTCTGCTTGAGGCAGACTTCGTATCTCCCCACTTGCCATTTCCTGTGCTCCTTTTCACATCCAAAGACTTGTTGGTCGAAAGGTAAATAAACTTGATTTCGCCCCTCACGTTCTTTCATTTGTCTTAGCTTTCCCTTGGCTTTTCTAGTCATCAGGTGTTTTTGTTTTTCTTGATTCTCTTCAAAATCTTCATCTTGGTATTTTTATGTGTTTTCAGTTTAAATTTTGCTTGGCTAAGCTTTCTTTTGGGGGCTTCCTCAAAGTCCATCATCTGTCCACAATTTACCCCTCCTGTTTTATTAGGATTAATTCTTTGATGGCCTTTATTTTCTTTCAGTTTCCTTTAACTTTAAATTTATTGCCTCTCCTAACACTTTTTAGGGAGCCACTAAATTAAGATTTGTTGTATCTCTTTTTAAAGTTGTAAATAATAATTTTTCTGTGCCGTACGATTCCTTTGTTTACTTTTTAAAAAAATATTAACTATAGTTTTGAAAAGAAATCTAACCTAAGCTGGTTTTAGTTTCCATTTTAAACCTATTCCCCCAGCCTCCCTCTGGACCTAATTCCTCTGCCCATTAGCTCCTTCAGTTCTGACCAGTGAGAGGGCTAAAACCAGTACTATAGCCAGGGACAGTCTCACTCACTAGAATCTGGCTCGCTCCTTCCACCACCTGTTGGTCATAAAGACACATAAAAAAGTCCCTCAGCCCATTAATACAGTGGATACAAATGTCTTTGTTTTCAACATGGGATCATTGCGCATGGGTAAGAAATTAGTGGTGGAGAGCAGGCGGGGGTGTGACTGGCGCGCAACTCAGGGGCGTGGCATGCGTCCTGGGGGCATGGTGTGCCGCATGCGGGGGCGTGGCCCCCAGCGCAGGGGGGACCAGCCACAATGGCACCCCACTGGGATCATGCAGCCGGGGGCGGTGCGCTCCCCCCTACACCCCTGTTCTTCCACCAGTGCTCGTCCCTTCAAATATTTTATTGGAGAGGGGCTTAAGAGGGGTTAGCTCCTAAGTTGAGGTATGCATCATTCCTGGATCAATGTCTTTGGTTACTTGGCTATGTGTAGCACCTGCTGTGCCTTTGAACGGCATTTTGCCCATGTATCACACTGATCTGAGCATTAAAGATTTTGGTAGACGCTGCAACCTGAGTTCGAATTCTTCATTGAGTGGGAGACGGGAAACTCTCCTCCACAGCATGCTTTTCTGGAGATTCTCCTGACCCTCCCATAGCCAGCTTTTGGGGAGGGGCCTGTGGGTGTGTGGGTGTCTGTACTCTTCCCTTTCTTGTTCCTCCCATAATTTCTACCCGGTTGTAATTGAAAGTGGCAGCATGAGCAAACATCTCCTAAGGGATTGCAGGTAGAAAATCGTCTTCTAGCTTTTATTTTTTGGTTGCTTGGAAATACTCTGGAGAAGAGGGGACCTAGACAGCTGTGGGAAGATGGGGACCTTCAGTCCTTGCAACCCACTGGAAAGAGTTGTTGAGATCATTAGGCCTGAGTTGTTTTGGTTTCTTTGAACAAAGAATTAACATCACTGACACTGGTGTTTTTATTGCTGACCTGCTCCTGACTCCTGCTCCCCAGGGTCCTTCCCAACCAATTGGAGACTCCACTACTATGCCCGCCTTTGCTCCTCTCACTTCATACCTCTCCAGGTCCTGGGGGAGAGGAGGCTGTCACAGCAGGAGGGGAAGACACCCTGGCTTCTTCACCAGCCTGATTCATCTCTGCCTCTTGGCCTCCGTCCTCCCACTTTCCTGCTTCGGCTTCTGCTTCCTGACTTCTCTCTGCCTCAGACTCTCCCTGCTCACTAAATCCTGTTACCTCTTCAGCTGTACCTCCTCCCCATCTGTTCCCTCTTCTTCCTCTGACCACTCACTGTTGTCCCACCACCACCACCACTCCCTGGGCTTTGATCCTTCTTCCCTTGGGGGTTCCCCAGCTGGATCCTCCCACCATTCCTCTGTGTCCAGCCAGTCCATGACACTAATCGTATAGCAATTTAATACAGAGCTCTGAATTTCATTGCCAGTAATATTTGATGAAGACCTCAGTAAGTTGGCATCGTTAATGGTGCTTTTTCTTGTGTTGTAACAGTGTTCTGGAACGGTCTGTAATTTAGGTTAAACAGTAAAATGGGTAAGCCAAGATGGCCTCAGCTGCCGGCTGTGTATTAAAAAGCTTCTTTGCTCATCCTGTGAGATCTGCTCGGCAAGTAACAGCTACTCTGTTGCACAAAAAATGCTTTTAGCAAGATAAGCTTATGAGAAATGTAATCAGCTAATGCAGGAAGTATTTATTTATTTATTTGTTCCTGCCAAGCGCCACATGAATAGTCTATAAATGTGCAAAGGGAATGGAGCCTGATCCTGTGCAGAAATTAGGATTCAGTGCCTTAGGGGTGCACACCTCACTCTGCATAAGAATAGGGTTACTGATGCGCAGGGTGACCTTGGGAGGAATCCTGTCCCTTTCCTGTGCTTTCCTTTTGCTTCAGACAGCAGTGACAATGCAGAGCCTTGATGGCTGAGCAAACCTTAGCCCTCTTTAGCTCTGTAACGTCTGTGTATTCTGTGGCACAATTTCCAGGTCATGGAAGTAAAAATGTGGACTTCCCTGGGATCTGCACCACCTCATAAACCCGAATAGGTTAGCCACAGAGAGAAAACACGGTGGTGTTTTCAGTCCCCGCACCCCTTACTTCAAGTCAGGCATAGGCAAACTCGGCCCTCCAGATGTTTTGGGACTACAACTCCCATCATCCCTAGCTAACAGGACCAGTGGTCAGGGATGATGGGAGTTGTAGTCCCAAAACAGCTGGAGGGCTGAGTTTGCCTGTGCCTGCTTCAAGTTTAGTGTAGGTAAGGAAGGAGCCCAAAGAATCCAATGCAGAAACTGCCTTAGCAGCTGGTAAGCAGAGACCGTGGTAATCAGCAGAGCAAAAGCAAGGTACATTATTGCCTAAGATGGAAGATCCAAATGCTCTACACACACACACACACACACACACACACACACACACACACACTTTTCAGTTGGAATTCCACAAAATAAATCCCTGCAGGAATGTGTGTGTTTTTCATGGATTAGCCTGTTCATCTCTTAACTGCTCTGTTTACTACCTTTGCACGTGTACAATTGACTTGCTTCCCGGCAGGACCAGGCCAGATAAACAACTGCAATATAATATACCAAACATATTATCGTTGTCAAGGAGTCAGTTTAGACCTAGGTTCAAATCCCCAACCAGTAACGTGACACCCAAATATCAAATGCATTACTGTAGCATTCCTTGGCAGAATGGTAAGACAACACTCCCAAGCGGCAGGTCAGTGTAGCTCCTATGAAATTTGTAGGGCTTAATTCTGCCCATTTATATACCTTTTTTTTTTGCGGGGGAGGGGAGGACTCACTAGGAAAGTGGTTCTGAAGGGACGTGATGCATCACACTGGTGTGGCGGGAGAGGGTGGCAAGTGTGGCAGGGAGATTCAAGGACAATCAATATTGTATTTTTAGGAATAATTCATGTTCTTATGTAGCTGCATTGTTTTAAACTTTCTGTATGTCCCCATTATCATATTATAAGGTAGTTGTGTTCTATGTCATAAATCAAGCACTGCTAGGAGTTGTTTCTTTTTGTTTTCCAATGTATTTCTTATCAATAAAAAATTTGGTGTGGCACAAGCAAATTTTTATTCTGAAAGTTGTTGCCCAGAGAAAAAAGCTTGAGAACCACTGCATTAGAGGAATGCATACAGCTGTTTAGCAAGCATGGTGTCAGGCAGCTTCCTAGATGATGAGCGCAATAGACGTGGAAAGAGGATGCTGTTGGACCACATTTGTTTAAAGAAGGGCAAGAGAGATTATTTCTGAAAATAAAGGTGCAGATCTTCAAGCCTGTTTCAGAAGGTCTTGCCCCCTCTTCTCCAGCGTTTGTGACCTGCGCATTCGTACCTGGTAGTAAGGAAAACAACTTTTTATATGAATTTTTGCTCTATTATCAATGTGTTCTGAGCCTCAGTGTCCTGCTTAAATTAAACCTTCTTTGACAGAGCACGAAGAAGTCGCACAAATCCTCATGGACAGTGTTTGTATTCATGATAATAATAATAATAATAATAATAATAATAATAATAATAATAATAATAATAATAATAAAAAATTGTTATTTGTACCCCGCCCATCTGGCTGGGTTTCCCCAGCCACTCTGGGCGGCTTCCACAGAAACCAAAAATGCACTAAAATATCACACATTAAAAACTTCCCTGAACAGGGCTGCCTTGAGATGTCTTCTGAATGTCAGGTAGTTGTTTATCGCTTTGACATCTGATGGGAGGGCGTCCACAGGGCGGGTGCCACTACCGAGAAGTCCCTCTGCCTGGTTCCCTGTAACCTCACTTCTCGCAATGAGGGAACCACCAGAAGGCCCTCAGAGCTGGACCTCAGTATCTGGGCTGAACAATGGGGGTGGAGACGCTCCCAGGGACGCGGACTTATAAAAAATATTGGGGGGGCCCGGGAAAGCTCATGAATAATAAATAAGCTCATGAATATGCAAATAAAGTGGCTCCGGCCCTAAATAGGGCAAGCCACGCCCCCCAGCCAGCCGATTGGCTGGCTGGGAGGTGTGGCCAGTCGGGATTCCCCTGTTCTCGCGGGGGCTGAAACCGCCAGGAGGAAGGAAATTCCCCCCGGCAGTGCCTTGGCAGTGGCGGTGGTGCTGCGAAGCAGCAAGGCAGGAGCCCCCACCCCCAGCGCCCGAGATTATTGGGGGGCTGAGCCCCCCCAAAAAATTTTTTGAGGGGGCTCGAGCCCCCTCAAGCCCCATGGTGTCGGCGCCTATGGACGCTCCTTCAGGTATACTGGGCCGAGGCCGTTTCGGGCTTTAAAGGTCAACACCAGCACTTTGAATTGTGCTCGGAAATGTACTGGGAGCCAATGTAGGTCTTTCAAGACCGGTGTTATGTGGTCTCGGCGGCCACTCCCAGTCACCAGTCTAGCTGCCACATTCTGGATTAGTTGTAGTTTCCGTGTCACCTTCAAAGGTAGCCCCACATAGAGCGCATTGCAGTAGTCCAAGCGGGAAATAACTAATACAGTGTTACAAGCTGGCAAATGCACCAGTCTTGGGAATTCAGATGTAGGGAAAGTGTGTTTGTTTGTTTGTGCTTCAGTAAGTAGCAGGGAAGTGGGAAATGACACCGTTGTTAGTGTGGGGGTAGTGAGAAAGAGGAGGAAATGTACGCAGAGCTGCAACATGCAAATAAGATAAAGCCAGTACAGTTTGCCTGATAAAATATAAATTGTTACTATGTTTTTTGTAATTGGACATTCAGCCCTTGAACTTGCAACTGGTCTGTGGAACCCATCTAGAGAATTCACCAGCATTAAGGATACCCGTCAACATGACATTAGAATTTTACTACAAAAGTTGTGGTTATTTAACATAATCACATATTTTCTCTCGAAGAAGGAGTGTAGTAGAAAGCTGAGAAGCCACAATGAAAGGGGTAGAGTCAATGAAATAAAAACTAATTGGGAATATATACCTTGCCAAGGATAGTTTTGAGCGATTAAAAAATTTGGTTACTGAGGTTTAAAGAGGAATGTATGTATTTCATTTATTTTTTAAATGAAAATCAGTGGAAATATACTACCCAGTAATAAAGGTCCCTGAACAGTTTACAGAATTGGACTTTAAATTAAGCCTCAGACTCCAACTAGAAATATTGGTCTCACTGAATTCTCATAAGTCTAAACAAGTGTTGTTTAAAGGGAGAAGTTCTCTAACTTTACAGAGAGGGTATTCTAGAGGCTCCTCATGTCACACTTCATGTTTTGGTTCAAGACTAAATGAGATTTACATCAGAATTATGCAAAGGCAACAGATGTGCTTGGGGCACATTTCTAAAATACCTACAGATACAGGATCGTCTTCATGAATCAAGAGGGGATAGCAAAGTTTGGACTGACAGCTAGTGGTTAAAATGAGGCAAATATTGACAAGGCCCTCAAAATTGTAGCATGCTGTATGGATAGTTCCTATATATTTAGACTTCATTTTTAAAAAAATGAGTGTGAAATTAAACCATTTGTATTAATATAAGCACTTGGTGCTGAGAAAAGTACAATACCAATGGCCTATTCAGTCATTTCCTTTCTCTCAAACTGTTGAGTAGCTAATTCGAATAACATTCCAAACTACACTTTTATTTTCATATACTGTAATTCCAGAAACAGAAGGATAGCTCTGGTTAGTGGCTATAAAGAGCAAGCAAGCAAGATTCAAGCAAGAAGTCTTGCTACACCGGAAAAAAGAAGTGTAAAAAGATGAATGTGGCTTTTTGAATCACAGTGGGGGAAATTAACTCTGCACACAATAGTCACTATTGCACTGCACAGGGACAGAGCCCTCCAGATGTTGCTGGACTATGAGTCTCATCATTCCTCCCGCTTGTCTTGCTGGCTGGCGCTGATGGAAGTTGGAGTCCAGTAACATCCAGACTTCTTGGGAGAAAGGCAATGACAAACCTAGACAGCATCTTAAAAAGCAGAGACATCACCTTGCCAACAAAGGTCCGTATAGTTAAAGCCATGGTTTTCCCAGTAGTGATGTATGGAAGTGAGAGCTGGACCATAAAGAAGGCTGATCACCGAAGAATTGATGCTTTTGAATTATGGTGCTGGAGGAGACTCTTGAGAGTCCCATGGACTGCAAGAAGATCAAACCTATTCATTCTTAAGGAAATCAGCCCTGAGTGCTCACTGGAAGGACAGATCCTGAAGCTGAGGCTCCAATACTTTGGCCACCTCATGAGAAGAGAAGACTCCCTGGAAAAGACCCTGATGTTGGGAAAGATTGAGGGCACAAGGAGAAGGAGATGACAGAGGATGAGATGGTTGGATAGTGTTCTCGAAGCTACCAGCATGGGTTTGACCAAACTGCGGGAGGCAGTGGAAGACAGGAGTGCCGGGCGTGCTCTGGTCCATGGGGTCACGAGGAGTCGGACACGACTAAACGACTAAACAACAACATCCAAACACCATTCACACGCGGTGCCTCACCTTTGCTGCTGCTGTAACACAGGTGTGCATTGCTTTGATTTGTAGTTTGTGAAGATTCTCTGTGTGGGGAGGATATTATTTTTGTTACTATGTTATGTATTTTTGTGCTTTTTTATTGTAAACTGCCCTGTGCTCGTCTGGTGAAGGGCGGTACAGAAATAAACTAACTAACTAGCTAGCTAGCTAACTAACTTTCTGACTGTAAGAGCTGTTCGACAGTGGAACAGACTCCCGCAAGAGGTGGGGAATTCTCCTTCCTTGGAGGTTTGTAAGCATCTGTCATGTATGATCTAGTTAAGATTCCAGCATTGCAGGGGGTCGGACTAGATGACCCTTAGGGTCCCTTCTAACCCTACAATTCTACGATTCTCTGAATGGGCTGGAATAGGGCGAGGAAGCCTTGCTAATGTGCTTGGAAACTTTGTTTTGGAACCTCTTGTAATTAAAAGCAGCAGCAGCTCGACTTGCGCCCTGAGGCTCAGGAACCACAGAAGGGCTACCGCGCCTCTCTCCCTCCGCGCCCAAGACCCAGCGGAGCCCTTCGAAGAAAGAAGGGTCCATTCTTTTGTCCGCGGGGCGTGTGGACAGCGGCCAGCCCGAAGGAGCTGCAGCCCGAGAGAGAAAAGGGGGCGGCGCCAGCCTTTCGTTACTTTCTTTCTCTCGGAACGGCAGCTGCCCAATCGGAATGGAGGGGCGCGGCTTCGCTCCGCCGCCCGGCTCCTCCCCCTCCCCCTCTGCCCAATCACGGGGCGCGGCGTCCCGCCCAGCCTCGAGCTCGGCTCCGCCCTCGGAAGCTCGCCTTCCAATCGGCGGGCGGAGCGAGCCAGCCTCGTTCCCGGACTGCAGCAGCCGCGGGAGCTGGCGAGTTGCTGGCTTCGCCGCAGTGCGAGACTCGCGGGTTCCTGTGGCGGGAGCGCCATGGAGCGGGCCCCGGAGCAGGAGGCGGCGGCGGCGGGGGCGCCGGATCCGGGCGCGGGGGTCTCCTCGGGCTCCGGCGGCTCTCGCTTGCCCGGCGGCATCGGCTCGGCGGAAGCCCTGGCGGCGCTGGGCGCGATCGGGCGGCGGCTGCTGTGGCTGCTGCCGGTGTACCTGGCGGGCCGGGCGGGGCTGAGCCTGGGCTTCGTGGTGGCCGGCGTGGCCCTCTACATGGGCTGGCGGGGCCGGCGGATGAGCAAGGAGCGGTCGCTGCGAGCGGCCGGGCTGTTCCTGGGGGACGAGGAGGCTGCGCTGAGCGCCACGAGGCTGGGCCGAAGCCTGGGGCAGAGCGAGCTGCCCGCCTGGGTAAGAGCTGGGCTATGCCGTTTTACTTGGGGGGTCGGGGGGGGACTCCGGGATTCCTTCCTTGGGTCCCGTAGCGCTGAGGAAGTTCCCCAGGGAAGAAAAGGAGCAGCAAAACAAGGCGCGAGCTTTGGGATCGCAGGACCTCAGCCATGCCCAGATCCTCTCGCCTTGGATGCGCTCATACGGAATATTTACGCATTCCCGGCTTCATATGCGTGGCTGCTTCCGTGGGTGTCGGTTTCCTGCTCCTGCAAGCCTTATTTTGAAAGGGGTGGGTGAGTAGGCATATATTGGTAAAAATACAGTTGCAGGGCGGTGATCCCGGGTCCAAGAAGGGAGCACGTGAAAGTTACTTGCCCACTAAAATGTTTTCTCTGTTTGTCTGCCTTGACACACATGCCTGTACCAGCTGCCTCCGAAGCCTCTAATGATTTGATTTTGTAAATCTTCCCTGCCTGGTCACTTGGAGGCTGCATTTTATCTGGTGCATTTATAACACCACCTTCCTTCCATGGTGGATCTCATACATACTGTCCAGACCTGCTGAGGGCTGCACGGTGTGGCCCCAGACTGCCCTCAGAACCTACTTTCTTGCGACAATCAAACAGGCGTCTTTTAATCAGCATAAAGTGATGCTGAGTAGTATACACTGTTGCACTCCTGCATTTTTGATGCCTAACTCCATGCCCTGCTCCATCCTTAGTTTCCTTGTGTGTGTCTTGACCAGGCCTGTGGAAAGCAAAATATCTGTGGGTGAATCTCATTGCTTCTGCTAGCATCACAGGTTTTTCCTTCCTCTTCTCCATGGCAAAGAAAACAGGGAAGCAGTTAGCCTTGGGCTTCATCTGCAAAATGGGGATAATTCTGGCCTATGTCACAGGGCTATTGGAAGGGTAGCAGCGGACATGCAAAGCGTTCTGAGCAATAGAAATGCTACGTATTATTAAGCAGCAGTAGTAGTATTATCTCCCTCTGCTCACCTTCCAGCTGCTTTGTCTTAGAAGCCACCAACCTGTAACTTTCCATGTTTCACTGCTCTGCATGAAGGAAGAAGGCAGCAGCCTCTGGCTAGATGCTGTGGCTTGGGGAGAAGCGCATGTTCACACCCTCTTGCAAAACAGCTGCTGCATTTAGCACCCTCCTGCAATTTGTAACTGCTCCTGCTCTCTTGATAGCTTTCCTGCTTTCTAAAGCTCTCCTTTCTGCATCTTTAACCATTTTGATCCATCATTTTATCATCTGCTTCCCTATTTAGCTCCCCTTACAACTTCCTTCCAGAACCCTCCTCCCTCCCCCTTGAGGGAATCCTATGTGATTTTCCTGCTTTCCTGCCTCCAATCTCTCTGCAGTGCTTCTCTATCTGTGTAGATTAAGGTTACCAGATTTTTTCTAAGAATCCGGGGACAGTTAAAAAAGAAAGAAAGAGAAAAAAGGTTATTTTCAAAAAGTTATTATTATTTCTTTAAAAAAGAAGTAATATCTTCTCTTCTGTGGTCTCACCTGTCATGCGACTTTCCTCTGGGCCCCAGCCTACTCTCTTGGAGCACTAGCTGTTGTGGAGTAGGCTTGGGTCGGGCCTGGGCTCGGCCACGTGTCCTTGCCCTCCCGATGCTCTCCTGCCTCTCCTCCTCAGTGGCACAGCAAGGTCGGGGCTCCCCTCTTTTTCCCCCTTCCTCTTCCTTCTTCTCCTCTCCTCCCTCCCTGTGTCGGCTCTGGGGTTTTCCTGGAGTGCCGCTGGGCAGTCGGCCGGGTGGCCGGGCGCTCTCGCTCCCAGCTCGATTTGGGTCGCGGGGTGTGTGTGTCAGTGGTTCCCCCAGTTGACGCGCCAGGCATCCCCAGTTCCCCCTTGGCAGTGGCGGTAGCAGTCTCAGCAGCCCGGAACCAGCCTGGTAGCGCAGTTGGCTCTGGCTGGCTTCAGGAGCAGCTCACTGCTGTGGCGCCTGCCATTTTGCCTCACCATAAGTCCCCATATGATGTGTCTTGTGCCGTTGAACCAATCACGCAACATTCATTCCCTACTAATAAATCTACAACACTTAAAATATAATTCCAAGGACGGATTTTGTCCGGGGACAGATTTGTAGATCTGGGGACTGTCCCCAGGAAACGGGGACGTCTGGTACCCATAGTGTAGATGCCCTTCCTGGAGACAGGTACCTTTTCCCATCCTCCTATTAACAAGCTCATGCACAAATCTTGGCACTGTCTTCTGCCATGCCTGTCTTGCTTCTTTCTTGTCTTTTCTCTGCCCTCCCTTTACATAAATACTAGGGAAGAGTTGAATGAGCAACCCTGTAAGGGACAAGAATATCTAGCCAAGAAAAGGAGTAAACCAGCGGGGATTTAGTTTTTCTCTCTATTTCTTTCTGGAATCTCTGTGTGTGTCGCGATATTCTTCTATCTTACGTTGGTCTCTTACATGGCACCTTACGTGGGCGTAGCCAGGTTTTTTTGTTGGGGGGGAGGATTTTTGTTGGGGGGGGGCAGAAATGATGTGATTTGTCAGTTAAGTATTTTTATTGTTTTACTTGATGGGGGGCAAGTGACACCCCCCCAAGCTTCTTACAAGAGAAACACACCTCTCCATACCTTTCACTCCCTCTAGCTAGTATTTAGTTGGGTGTGATGGTGGAACATTTCTAGTCCCATATCTGTGGTCCAAAAAGCAAAAAACCACAGGGGAACAGAAGACTGCCAACAGGGACAAAAACAGGCGACTGGGTGGAAAAAGACCGCCCCTCTGTTTTTTTACTGTGTCCCCTGATTTGAGTGCTGTTGTAGTTTCAGGGGATGTTCAAAGAACCTGAGTATTTGGAAATCGATGATAGTATCTTTCAGCTCTCAGTTCTGTAATGTGGCTTTTAGCACCCTAATCTAAAGTGAGTTCACAGGTTATCATTTTCCATGTGGTAATTGCTGCTCTTATGAGATAATGTGGATGTGCATAGCTGGTGTCAGCGTTATGGAATAGAATGTTGTCTCTTCAGGAAATCAGCTAACATTGGGAGACAGTTTTGGAATGTGATACCTTAGCTCTGCACTTGCTGTCAAATGGAACATGTGAACTTGCCCTGGGTTAACTGTAGCCTGAAACCTCTGTGCAAGCCCGTCCACAAGCTGAAAGATCCATATTGCTTCAGGGGTTGCAACCTTTGCTGGTCCTAAGGGTCACACTGTTAAACTAGTTCTCCAGCTGGGCACTAACATTGGCCGAAGTGCATGCCAGCTTGCCTTAATTCCATTTTAATTGGAACTTTTGTAACTGAAACTGGGATTGCACATCACACTGAATGCTTAACGGTCACTGAAAACAACAACTGTTCAGTTCCAAGCTCCTGCGGCTCTGTAACACCCAGTGTCCAAACTTAATGGCATTTGTGGACATCCCTAGAGATGTGAAGGTATGAAAAAAATTGGGGGGACCCTATAAAAATGAAGAGAAGTGGTTAATTCCACCCAAGTTTTCCTGTGTTTATTCTAGACTTATAGCTACCCCATTCCATCAGCAGAAAATGCAATGTGGAAAGCCATGATAAATTGCCCTAAATGTGGGAAGGTAGAATTAAATGTGTTGTTGCTGTTGCAAAGTGTAGGTGTGGCCAAAAGATGCCTAACAGGGTTGAATTATATTAACAAATATAACTCCCAAACCACCTTGCCTCCTATTATTGGCTTTACTTGCTTTCACCTGGCTTGTCCCTTGTCTCCTCTAACTCTCCTCTGCTGGAACTTAAGCTAAAAACCAAAAAACTCCTGTCCATTATGTTTTGCTTGATCAACTTCCATCCTTCCGATCTTGTGTTAGCATAATTCTGTAGCGCCTGGTCATCAGCCTCAATTCTCCTTCTATGTGATGGGTGGAGTAAAATAAGATAAGGTGGAGATGCAGCATGTTAAAATCTATTGTGGCAGGAAGTGTGCTGAGGCTCCCCCTTCAGCCCAGTGTCTTACTGATAAGGAGGAAAGAAAATCTTACAGGAGATACAGAAACGTTGCTGAAAGATGGCCTTACTGTTAGGTCCCTGGGTAAGATAGCTACCCAGTTTTGCAGTGGCTGCTTAAAATGGAAAAGTGAAATATTTCTCTTTATAGAGTATGGCTTTGTTGCATAGTGGCAACAGAGGACCTGATTCTATAGGGCAGTGTTTCCCAAACGTTTTTGGGCAACGGCACACCTGTTTACCGGAAAAAAATCTCGCGGCACACCACCATTAAAGCCCCGCCCCGTGACGTCAGCGCGCAGCGTCACGCCGGGAGGGACGCACAAAAGTCAAAGTTTTTTCCCTCCCCGCGAAGCAATGAAAGAGGGCGCCTCAACACCGGGAGGTGGGCAGGGAGCGGGGGGAGCGGCCAGACGGGCTCCGCTGGGGGACTTTCGGCTGCCGGAGGCGGGGAAGGGGCGGCTGCAGCGGACCCGGAAGTGGTTGCGCCCATCGGGGGCGGTGGAGCGCGCCGTGCGGGTTGGTGGGTGGGGGAAGGAGAGGAAGAGGAGGGGGCGGCGGCGGCGGCCGGAGGCTGGACGGATCCGCGCAGGGACGGCGCGCGAGCCGGGAGGAGGCGCGAAGAAGGAGGCAAGGCGAGAGCAGCGCGGCTCGGGATGCATTCGGACTGCCGGCTGCTGCGCCCGAGACGCGGGGTATGGTGAGCAGCCCGGAGCGCCCGCTCCCCCGGGGGACCCGGCCGGCGCTGGCCTCCCTCCTCCTCCTCCTGTTGCTGCTCAGGCGGGACGCGGCGGCGCAGAAAGGTGCGTGCGGGAGCCCCGCCGGGAGGGGAGGGACCAGAGCCTTCCCGCCTTTCTTGCTTGGCGCCCACCCAAAAGCCCGCCGGGTTTTCGCGCCTTCCTCCAGTAGGCCGGCCGAAGCGAGCGGCGATGGGATGTGGGAGCTCGCTCGCTCGCCGCCCCGCGTGTGCTCGCCGCCGCCGCCCCGCCTCTCGCCGCCCGACTCGCCCGCCTCCCTCCCACGGCACACCAGCCGGTGTCTCACGGCACACTAGTGTGC